CAGGTAAAACAAAACTCTCATCCCTGCTCTGTGCAGTGGATGCAGAGCTGTCTCCACACACTTTGAGAACGTACGAGGCGCGAGGGAGTACCCGAAAGGCAGCCTGTTGTACTGGTACTTCATCCCTTGAAAGGCGAAACGCAGAAATTTTCTGTGTTTTGGGATGATTGGTATGTGAAAATAGGCATCTTTTAGATCGATGGAAACAAACCAGTCGTTTTTCTGGATGTTGTCCAACAGCTGTCTGTTCGTCAACATGTGAAACGGTCTGTTCATGATCGCTTTGTTGAAAGCTGACAGATCCAGAATCGGTCTCATCCCTCCGGTCCCTTTGGGGACCAGGAAGTAGCGTGAGTAAAACCCTGTGTTTTCCTCCTCGTTGGGAACTCTTGAGATTACACCTTTTATCAGAAGCTCTTGGACTTCTGCATTTAAGGCTGAGACTTGGTCTGGTGATGACAGGACCGTCTCTATAACTCCTCCGAACGGAGGGGGTCGGGTTGCAAACTGCAGCGTGTAACCCTTGCATAACACTCTGTCCATCCATCTGTCCGGTGAGCATGTTTTTAGCCACTCTGCGTGACGTTCGTGGAGTGGACGTGCGTTTAAATGATGTGCCGTGTTTTGAACGGATGTCATCCAAACCTCCGCCTCGACCGCCGTCATGCGTCGCGGAAATGTTTTCCGCGTGACCCAAGGCGAGGCTTTCTCGAAAGGGCTGTTCTGCGCGCGCCCGTGCGCTGTGACTGGATCGCGGACCAACCTTCATGTCCGGGCGGGGCGGTGTGCGCTGAGGCGAAGCGTGTGCCAGCTGATGACGTTTAACGTCGCTGTGCGAACGTTGAGAGGTGGAGGGCGTGACGTCATCAACGCCGTGCTGTCGAAGTGAAGGTTGTAAACTTCGCGGGAGCGCACGTTTCCTCTGGAGGGACGCGCGCCGCTCTCGCTGAGGGCGGGGCCCGTCGTTGGATTCATTCAGCTGTCTCACGCTTATGTCGCCGTGAGCTGCTGATCGCTGAGGCGCGATGGATGACGGCCGTTCGCGATTATTCAGGAAAAGCGTGTGTTGTTTTTGCTGAGAGCGGGGACCTCCACCGGACCCGGCCTGCGGTCCCACATTTATCCCGATGTGAGCCGGTGAGCGCCGGGCAGCTGTGCGTGCATCATTAACACAGCGCCGTTTGGATGGAGGTTGCTTGTCTCGCTCGGGTGCGCGTTTAACACCGTTTGAGTGGTGATCGTGCGGTTCTGATTGACAACAAGATATTTCGCTTACCGTGGTGTCACGTGAGCGTCTGGGCATGTGAAGGAGCGGCGGTGGGTTTAAAAAACCTTTATTTAAGGCCACCGGCTCTCTCTGTGTGGAGGATGTGTGTGTAGCGGCTGTGAGCTCATCCGAACTTACAGACTGGCTAAAAACAGGCATTTTGATTTTTGAAAAATCATTTATTTCACTTCCTGTTTCGTTCATACACACATCCCCCGCAGACCGTCATTTCTTAAACCTTCTCCCTCGTGAGCTCTGCGGTTTGTTTGGCCCGAGCGCCGTCTGCAGGCGATCTCTGGGGAAACGCTGAAGTGCAGGCTGCCGGACTGAGGAGGGGTGGTCTCTGGCGGGCGGGGCTGGTGGTGGAGCTGGGCGAGACGAAGCTGCTGCTGCCGTGGAGCGTCGGTGCTTCTGCCTCTGCTCTCGACGATCCCTCCAGCGGGCTGGAGGACGGGATGAGCCGCGCGGCTTGATGAGATGGCGTACCGCTTCCGACATCTCCTCCGACTGCTTGGAATTCGCCAGCATGGTCTTCAAGCTGCTTCCGAACAGCGCGTCCGATGAGATGGGGCCCTCCATGAGGTCCTTGTGCAGCTTTTCCGGCAGCAATGGAGAGTGACGGAGCCAGATGGAGCGTTGGATTACCGTCATCCATGAAGCAATCCTCGACAGGCAAACCGTGGAGGCGGCGCACATGTTGAGGACGGCGTCTGCCGATTTACACAGGGAGCTCTTCGTCTCCTCCGGCAGGTCTGAGGCCTCCAGCCTCTTCGACATGCTAAATGCTAACAGCGCCACGTTGTTGTTAGCCGCGGCCGCCTGAAAAGCACACTGGTGGGCTCTGTTGGAGAGCGCGGTCGCCACCTGGTCGTGTTTCCCCGGAGGGACGGGACGCTTCTCCAGCCTGGACATCTTCGCTCCGAAGGCTTCCGCGAGGCTTGGCTCGAGGGGGGGTACCGAGGGATAGCCCCGCTCGGTGAACCCCTCCACTCTGGTGATGGGGGCGTAAGTGGAGACGGGCGCCCTTAACCTACCAGGACCGGCTGCGGCCTCGTTCCAGTACGCTGTCACCGCTGGAAAACGAGGCCAAATGGGATCAGGACGGCGAGCCGGCGTGGAGCCAAACCTTCCCGCAAGATCATCCGATCTGAGCGGGGGGGGGGAGGGGACGGAGAGCCCCTTAACGCTAGCAGCTTCCCGGATAATGGCGGGCAGCTCCGAGAGGAGCGCGCCCACGGCAGGGAGCGATGTGGTCGCTGAAGCGGGAAACCCCGGGGGAGTCGAGCATCCGCTCGGCCTCCCTCTTTCCAACACTGTGCTCCCCGGGGGGGAACAAGCGTCGGGGCTGCTGCTAGCGTCACCGGTCCCAGAGGAATCATCCGATTCACTCCGAGAGCCGGCGTCGAAGAAATCCATGGCGTCGTCCAGCGAACAGTCTCCCGCCACTGACAGGCAGTCCTCGATGGTAGCCTTAAACAAGGCTGCTCTCCTCTGCCTTTCCTCCGGTGGAAGCTCGTCACAGAGGCGGCAGGAGGAAGCGCGAGCGACGTGGCGGGGACCCAGGCATCCCTCGCAGGTGTCGTGCCGGTCGAAGCTAAGCAAGTAGCCGGTCTTGCAAGAGGGACACAAACGGATGGTGCTGGAGCTGGACATCTCGACGAAAAGGTCAGTTGTTCTTTGTTTTATTATGCTTGCTGAAGAAAAATGGGAGCAGATTACCCGCTCTTAACGTAATTTATACGGATCGGGTGGGGCCCACACAGCAGGTGGGCGTGGACTAATTTTTTCAGTACGATGCTTGCGCATAACGGGATAAACCCATCAGCGACAGCCTTAAAGGGCGAAGCCTATATGACATAGAACAATGTTCATAGAGTCCAAGTTAACACATTCCTCACTTTACTGCAGTCTTTTTAACATTTCAAAATGGTTTCCAACAACTTTTCAGTTTCATTAGATTCTCGAGTCTGCTGCAGCTGTAAGAACCAGTGACTGTCATCCAGTTAACCTGAATATGTGTTTGATCACATTTTAAGGAGAGAAATTTAGAGTTATCATCCATTCTGAAATTGACTAATCATTGTGTTTTTATATGTAACTAGTAATTTGTTACTTGCACTGATGAGAAAACACAAAGTTGTTTAGATATACCTGATTTTATTCATCTTCTGAAGCTTAATGGGGTCTTCTAAATAAATAATGAGTGATAATGAGTATAGAATAAAACATGTTATGCCACAAAAGAACCAGATTTTTTTTTCTTATTAACATGTGATATTGACATTGACAAAACAGGTTTCCTTTTAAAAGGAAGTTTTTCCTTTCCACTGTTATTCATTCTAATTTTACTTTCTTAACATTGAGATCACACAATTTAGGAGTACAAGTCACCTGCAAGTTTGTAAAAAGTTATAATATGTTTATATATATATATATATAGATATATATATATAAATATAAAAATTTAATAAAATAACAGTGGAAAGGAAAA